TCACCAATCTTCTGGTACCTCTCCTTTAGCGTGTCAGCCTGGCAGAGACACGGAGCGGGTCAGTGTGACAGCTGGGGACGTCCCCGGGGAGGGGAAGGCACCAGGTGCCATCAGACCATGAACGGTTTCTCGGTTCCCCTTTTCCAGGTACCAGCCAAAGCTCATTCCCAGGGAACTCCCTCCCCCAGGGCAGGTCTGGAGGACAAACCCCAGGAGCGTGGTTCCAGGACAGCACCTGGGAGAGCAGCTGGGACACCCGCAAAGGGGGGTCCACAGAGCCGGGGACACCCCCAGCCGCTCAGCACAGCAAGGGCCCGGCACAGAGCTCAAAGCAACACCCCCTGCAACCGGTGGGGTGCCGGCCCTCCGACACCCCGGGGGCCAAACTCCTGCCCCTCCCTGCTGCTGCCCGTGCCAGGGCAGAGCCAAACCCGCGGGGCAGCCATGCCCAGGGACAGCAGGAGCTTTACCTTGAGGCCTTGCCAAGGAAGGCTCCCGCGGAGGAAGTACATAAACATGTGCCCTAATGCTTCCAGGTCGTCCCTGCGGCTTTGTTCTGCATGAAAAAAAAAAAAAAGAGACACGGGCACGTTCCCATTACAGTCACTTTCCCTGTCCCTGCCAGGCCCTGCAGCCCCCAAGTCCCCTGTCCCAGGCTGGAGAGCAGGAGAGGCCGTTTGTCCCCAGCCCTGCCCCGGCAGCGGGGAGCTCGCACCCTGCGGTCCCCTCTTCTCTCCCTCTCGGCCGAGGGCCAGGGCTGGCCGCGTGGCGCTCACGCACCTTTCCCGAGGTGGGTGTTGATGCTCATGTAGCGTGCTGTCCCTGTCAGGCTCTTGTGCTCTCGGTAGGGGATGTGTTTTTTGGTCTCGGGGTCGATATACTCTTTGGCCAGGCCAAAATCGATGATGTGGATGGTGTGCTGCCGCTTGCTGCCCACCAGGAAGTTCTCTGGCTTGACGTCTCTGTAGATCAGGCTTTTGGTGTGGACGTACTCCATCCGGGTGATCTGGGGGCAGAAGGAGGTGTCAGCACCGCGGCGGAGACCCACCAGACCGCAGCCCCCCTGCACCCTCCTCCCCTGGGCTCAGCTCTGCTCCGATCGCCTCCCCCCGGCACATCTGT